ATAGTGGAGACTTTAACAACCCCTTGTCAATATTAGACAGATCACTGAGACAGAAAATTAACAAAGATATTCAGGACCTGAACTCAGCTGTGGATCAAGTGGACCTGATCGATAGCTACAGAATTTTCCACTCAAATTCAACAGAATATACATTCTTCTGATAGCTACATGGCATGTACTCTAAAACTGATTATATAATTGGAAGTAAAACACTTCTCAGCAAATACAAAAGAATGGAAATCATAACAAACAGTCTCTCAGACCAGAGCACAATCAAATTAGAACCCAAGATTAAGAAACACACTCAAAACCACACAACTACATGAAAACTGAACAACCTGCTCCTGAATGACTCTTATGTAAATAATGAAATTAAGGCAGAAATCAAGAAGTTCTTTGAAACTAATGAGAACAAAGAGACAACATACCAGAATCTCTGGGACACAGTTAAAGCAGTGTTAAGAGAGAAACATATATATGCACCAAATTCCCCTACCAAAAAGCTAGAAAGATCCCAAGTTAACAACCTAACATCTCAACTAAAAGAACTAGAGAACCAAGAGCAAACAAACCCCAAAGCTAGCAGAAGACAAGAAATAACGAAGATCAGAGCTGAACTGAAGGAGACAGAGACATGAAAAAACTCTTCAAAAAAAATCACCAAATCCAGGGGCTAGTTTTTTGAAAAACTTAATACAATAGATAGACTGCTGGCTAGACTAATAAAGAAGAAAGGAGAGAAGAATCAAATAAACACAATCAGAAATGATATGGGGGATATCACCACTGACCCCACAGAAATACAAACAACCATCAAAGAATACCATAAAGACCTTTACGCACATAAACTAGAAAATATAGAAGAAATGGATAAAATCCTGGACACATACACTCTCCCAAGACTGAACCAGGAAGAAACTGAATCCCTGAATAGACCAATAACGGGTTCTGGAATTGAGACAGTAATAACTAGCCTACCAACCAAAAAAAGCCCAGGACCAGAAAGATCCACAGCTAAATTCTACCACAGGTAGAAAGAAGAGCTGGCACCATTTCTACTGAAACTATTTCAAAAAATTGAAAAGGAGGGACTCCTCACTAACCCATTTATGAGGTCAGCATCATCCTGATACCAAAACCTGGCGGACATAAACAAAAAAAGAAAACCTCAGAACAGTATCCTTAATGAACACTCATGCAAAAAGCTTCAATAAAATACTGGCAAACTGAATCCAGCAGCACATCAGAAAGCTTATCCACCATGATCAAGTTTGCTTCATCCCCAGGATGCAAAAGTGGTTCAACATACACAAACCAATAAATGTGATTCATCACATAAACAGAATTAAAGACGTTATTACCTCGATAGACGCACAAAAGGCCTTCGATAAAATTCAACACTCCTTCATGTTAAAAACTCTCAACAAACTAGGTATTGAAGGAACATACCTCAAAATAATAAGAGCCATATATGACAAACCCATAGCCAATATCATATTGAATGGGCAAAAACTGGAATCATTCCCCTTGAAAACTGGCACAAAACAAGGATCCCTTCTCTCACCATTCCTATTCAACATAGTATTGGAAGTTCTGGCAAGGGCAATCAGGCAATAGAAATAAAGCGTATTTAAATAGGAAGAGAGGAAGTCAAATTATCTTTGTTTACAGATGACATGGTCCTATATTTGGAAAACGTCATCTTCTCAGCACAAAAGTTTCTTAAGCTATTAAGCAATTTCAGCAAATTCTCAGGATACAAAATCAATGTGCAAAAATCTCTAGCATTCCTATAGCCAACAGCAGGCAATCAGAGAGCCAAACCATCTATGAACCCCCATTCACAAGTGCTACAAAAAGAATAAAATACCTAGGAAAACAGCAGCTAAGGAGGGAAGTAAAGAAACTTTTCAAGGAGAACTACAAACCACTGCTCAAAGAAATCAAACTGGATACAAGCAAATAGAGAAACATTCCATGCTCATGGATAGGAAGAAACAATACTGTAAAAAATGACCATAGTGCCCAAAGTAATTTATACATTGAATGCTATTCCCACTAAACTACCATTGACATTCTTCACAGAATCAGAAAAAAACTATTTTAAAATTTGTATAGAACCAAATAGCCGAGACGATCCTAAGCAAGAACAAAGCTGGAGGTATGCTATCCAACTTCAAGCTATACTACAAGGCTACAGTAACCAAAACAGCATGGGACTAGTACAAGAACAGATACATAGACCAAAGGACAGAATGGAGAACTCAGAAATAACATCACACACCTACAAACATCTGATCTTCAACAAAACTGACAAAAGCAAGCAATGGGGAAAGGACACCCTATTTAATAAATGGTGCTGGGAGAGCTGGCTAGCCATATGCAGAAAATTGAAACTGGACCCCTTCCTTACACCCTACACAAAAATTAACTCAAGACGGATTACAGACTTAAATTTAAAACCCAAAACTATAAAAACCCTATAAGAAAATACCCTTCAGGCAATACCCTTCAGGATGCAGGCACAGGCAAAGATTTCATGATGAAAACACCAAAAGCAATTACAACAAAAGCAAAAATTGACAAATGGCATCAACTTAAAATTAAAATAAGGAGCTTCCATTCAGCAAAAGAAACTATCGTAAGAGTAAACAGACAACCTACAGAACAGGAGAAAATTTTCGCAATCTATCTATCTGACAAAGGTCTAATATCCAGAGTCTACAAGGAACTTAAACAAATTTACAAGAAAAAAAAAAACAAACAATCCCATTAAAAAGTGGGCAATGGACATGAACAGACACTACTCAAAAGACGATACACATGTGGCTAACAAACATTATGAAAAAAAGCTCAACATCACTGATCATTAGAGAAAAGTAAATCAAAACCACGTTGAGATAGCATCTCATGCCAGTCACAATGGCAATTATTAAAAAGTCAAAAAACAACAGATGCTGGCGAGATTGGAGAGAAAAAGCAATGCTTTTACACTGTTGCTAGTGTAAATTAGTTCAATCATTGTGGAAGACGTTGTGGCAATTTCTCAAAGACCAGAAACACCTTTTGAGCTAGCAATCCCATTACTGGGCATATACCCAAAGGAATATAAATTATTATTTTACAAGGCTACAAGAACAAATATGTTCATTGCAGCATTATTCACAATAGCAGAGACATGGAATCAACCTAAATGCCCATCAGTGATAGACTGGATAAAGAAAATGTGGCAGCCGGGCGGAGCAAGATGGCCGAATAGGAACAGTTCCGGTCTCCAGCACCCAGCACGATCGACACAGAAGACCAGTGATTTCTGCATTTTCAACTGAGGTACTGGGTTCATCTCACTAGGGAGTGCC